TTGCCAAACAAAGCTCCCCTGAGGTAGGCCTGTGTCTCTTTATACCATGTATAATCCAGTCCCTGACTGGCATCCAAATTGCTTTAAGGATTTCTGGACAGGTTTCACATTTACTTCAGCGTGGAAAAGTGTAGGTAAGTTGAGACCTTTAATTCTGGGTCTGTATCTCTTCCCCAAATGTGTGTGAAGGATTTTTTTGTTCTAGCTCTGTGGTGACTGAGGTGGTGTGCCAGGTTCCTTGGGATGGCAGCTGTGCTCCATCATTGCCAGGAACCACTTCTGACCTCTGTGACAAAACTTCATGTGAAAGGAACACTTTTTGTGCCATGTTTGCTTTAAATCCAAGAACACAATTTAGTTCATGAAAAGACATTTCTGTGACTGTTCTTCTGGAAAGGCTTGGTGATCTTAGCTCATTTTAGGCATTTCCAATCTGGCAAACAAGTAACATCCTAGAATTAAATTGTCTTGGGCAACCTTTGCCAGCCCAGCTGGAGAGGCCAAGACCCTGAGGCCAGACCCTTCCCTCTCTATCCAAGACTGTCCCTTTCAGAACTTAGGTGTATTGAAGTCACAAAAAGGAGGAACTGGGTATTTCAAATGCTTCTGTCCAAGTACTGAACATACCTTTGCTTTTATCTCTGTGCCCTCAACTCAGGATATCCATAGTGACAGTAACAGTTCCATGATCAGTACTTTTCAAACCCCAAGGCAACCTAAATCCCTACATGGCTGTAGAAAAATCTCAGTTTTTCATAGCTCCCATTACACAGAGGCTGTGTAATCATCCTACCATGTTAGAATATTAACTGTTGTTTAGCTGTCAGGAGAAGTTAAGAATTTGATACTGAGTCAGGATTCCTGGGAAGCCAAAGAGGAGTTCCAGAGACTCAGTTATTTCAGTAATTCCATTCAGCTTATTTTTCAAACATACAGACACAAGTTAAACCAACACAAGTGACCCTAGATAACATTACAGCTGATACCTGAAGAAGCTGCAATTAGCAATATTACATTGCAGTGAAGGAGACACTTTCATTCACTAGTTTTGTCTCTATTTCTTTCCTTCCCTGCTTTTTAAACGGCAGAGTTCAGAGCACACAGCACTCTGCAGGATGAGACCTCCTGTAAATGATTCCCTCATCCCTGCCCTGGGAATTGCACATTTCCTTTCCCTGATGTGCAGGCACTGAGCACAGAGGACAGCTGGCTTGCTCTCACCTGTTAAAGGGAACTGCATTTTAGTCTCATCCCATTGCAAATCAAAGACACCGGGCTGTGCCTTTCAGTCAGACAAGGTGTGAATGGAGATATATGAAATGTATATTGATAGCAACTCAAGAGTTGTTACCATCACCCGTGGAGAAAACAATTGTCTGGATCCTTTGAAATGTCAACTGAAAATGCTTTCATGTTGTCTTGACTTCCAGGCAAAAGCTGTTCTGATGTTCCTTGAGCTGGAAATGAGGTGATAACTAGGGTCAGGTCCAAGTTAGTGGGAAAGTCAGACTTGCTTAGGGAACTTGCCTCCAAAGTAAAAGCAAAAGCCATTGAAATGGTCAAATTCTTTCTGTGGTTGTGACAATTAAGGATGAAACCCTTCATTGAAAAACTAGTTGAAGTAATATGACTGTCTGTTTAACCTCTCCTGCCAAGTGTTAGGCAGACAAAATTACAGAGACACAATATCTGGGAAACTCACTATTGCTGCAATATAATATTGTGTGAGAAAATTATTCAAATATCAGATCTGATCTAGAGAAAAAATGATACCTGTCTTTCCCATCAAATGAAAAATATTCAGAAGACAAGAGTGACTTAGCCTACGGGAGCAAATGTCACATATGAAGGCAACCTGGATGTTGGGAGTTATTTTATGGAGATAAAGATCTTCACTTCAGACATCAAAGTTACAAGGTTTATTTTTCTGGTGACTTTAGTTTGACATTATTATATATGGTGGCATGTAATAACAGCAGGACAAATCAGTAACTTCAGTTTCATCCTATTTTCTTGGCACATTTCGGAGACAGTATGAGAGATGCAAGAGAAAAGCAGTCAGGAGAGCTTTGCTGTGTTTTGTGTATTGTTTGTGAAGTGCAAAAGCCTTATTTCAGTATTTATTTTTCACATTTGTTCCAGGCCATTGTGCTCCAAAAGTTCATCTGCTCTGAGATTGAAGAGATGTATAAACAAGCAACTCTGTCCATGGGTGCTGAGGGTTTTCTCAAGAACTCTCCCCAGGAAAGAGCCATAATCTGTCTTTTGGAATTCTCAGTGTAAACTCATGGAAATTAAAGGCACAAGGGCTGTTGTCTAATGAGCAGCCTCATTGAGAATCACTGCTGCACAAATATTCAGTACTCAAGCCTGTGGTTGTGTTGGGAGCACAGGGTTATGTCAGAGCCCTTTGTAAACCTCTCCTTCTGCTCTGATTGAGTCCTTTAGACTCAATTTCTACAGAAAAAATCCAGAGAAGTAGTCCCAGAAACCCTAACAAAATACACACGCTACAGGTTGGGAAAAAATTAAACCACGTGTGACAGAGCACATGGTCAGAGCAAAGTCTGGGCCTCCCACAGACACTGAGACACCTGCAGAAGGTACAAAATGCAGGTTGCTGGTCCTGTTAGGATTTTTTCCCTGGGCATTAGTGGAAGTTCAGTGAGCTCATGAATGTCAGATTTACCACAGGAGAGCTCTAGGTCTCCCTCTTAGGCAGAGGACTTGGCTGGACTTGGTGGAAACTGAAACTTCCACATCCTCTTACTCCTCAGGGGAGCTCCATCCCAGGCCACATCTGGTAGACTTGGCCCTGCCAGGCTCATCCTGCCACTGGTTCTCATCCTCAGCAGCACTGGCAATTGTGTTCAGTCCTGGACCCAATGCAAGACTGGTGGTTGGCATTAATTGGTGCCCTTCATACCTAGAAGTTGTTTCCTTATTTCCTACAAGCTGTAGAAGCAATTGTGGGGTCTCTGTTTCTGCTTTAAATGCATCATTTTGTATAATACCCATTAAAAATAATGAATTTGGGAGGGGTCACAGCATGAATATCCTGACATAGCTATGTTTGCAATTATAGGCAGAGCGTGAGAGATTTCTGCCCTAATTTTTTTTGGAATCTAATTCATAATTATCCTTGAGGACAGTTGGGCACCTTCAATACTTTGTTTCTACTTGCTTGAATAGTTTTTATCTTCTTTTCTTGCCATCTGTAAGTTTGTGTTGGGAACAGTGTTGAGGAGGCAGATCTGGCAGTGCTGAGCAGCTGCTGCTGCACTTGCTGCTGTGAGAGCCAAGTGCTCACACTGTGAAATGCTGCTCTGTGCTGCTCACTGCTGCTCACTCCTGTCCTGGGGACACCGGGACTTGCCATTGTTGGAGGACCTCAATTACACGTGTCACTGACTGCACACAGTAAAGGACACATTGCTCTGCTGCTTCTGTGACTTGTGCTGCCACTGCACTGCAATTTGATCGGGTTCAGAAGTGATTTTTGGACTTGCTTTGAGGTAATGAATTCTCCCCCTTGCCTCCTCCATTCAGTTTGTATTTTCCTTCTTCTGCCAAGAGAATATACCAGTCTTCTTATTGAGAAATTCTCATTTGGAAATATCTCCTGTGTCTCTTTTTCCAATTTACGTGCTATGTTTTGGAGTCTGAATTCAGAAACTCTGTGACATGTCCTTTGATGTGATTTGCAATTTGTCTTCCCATATGAGGACTCACTTCCTCTGTGACAAAGCCCCCTGGTGAATGTGACATACAACTCAGGTTAAAGGATCTTGTGTTCTAGTTTGCCATTCACTTGTGGTGTTTTTTGGTTTTTGTTTTGCTTTTTTTTTTAAGAAAAGTCTTTCACTGTTTATTATTCGGTTTTCAGATTTTTTTAAAAAAATCATTCTTTTGAGGAGTGTCACCAAAACCTGGGTAAAGAGGCACCAAGCATTAGGGTTAAAGGCTGCCATTTATATTTATGAGGCATCTCATTCTAGACAGGAATGGACTGAAGCTGAAATCAGCCAAGTATCTCAGCTGGGTGCAGAATTTCTGACAATAGCTGAACCTGAAGCTGACAGACAGCAAGTACTATTTTTACCTCAGGAAACTTTGAAGTCACTTTGCTGTGACTTCATTTTCTGCTTCAAAGTTGAGAAATATCCAGACTTCTGTTGAAGAAAAGAAGACTGAGGCTCTCCCAGAGTTAGCTGTCTGTGACAAAAACATTTCCTAATACTCACAGTGTGGTTTTAATCCTTCTGCTCAATGATTTGGATGTGCTCTGATAACTGATACTGGTATAAGTGATAGTGCTCCTGGTATAAGCCTTCTGGAAAATGAGATTTAAGACCTTTTTTTGCCTTTGGTTCAAGTTTTGGTATGGGTAATATCTGATTACTCAAGTGCAGTTATTCTGTAACAGTTATTTGAGTTATACTGATTACTCAAGTAACAGTTATTTGAATTATACTGATTACTCAAGTGCAGTTATTTCTGTAATGCAGACACTATCATTATTTAATTATATAATATTATATAATATTACATAATATATATTATATTATATATATAATACAATTATATATATCATTGTTTTTCACATAAATCTCCTCCTCAGATTTGAAGACATGTTCATTGGAGTTTCTAGTGTTCTAGATCTACTGACAAGGGATGCTTTGCATTTGATGTATTTGAATGTGAAAATTGTTTTGGTAATGGGCAATGAAAGATATGTCCAAAAGTAAAATTCTGACCTCTGCATAGTTGCATGTGAAAAAAAAAAAAAAAGATTAATTAAGAAACATTAAAAAAATAAATAAAGCAAGAAATAGAAAGACTCCAAGACCATCAAGAAGTAAGACATTGAATATAACTTGCAAAGACATCAGTATGTACTGAATTAATTGTATTCTGACGTCCCTTTTCTAATAATAATTCATGTTACCCTGATGCTGTGGAATATCATTGCTAAATAATTCTTTTTTGTTTAATCACAGACCCCACAGCCAGTTGAAAACTACATCAGTGAAGGAGAGCTTGAAGACGATCTGAGTTCTTCTACCCCAAGCACAACCGAGCTGGAGGTACGTGGATCCAGCCAAGAAACAGATGAAGATTATTTTGAAACCGTGTCACATCAGAGTGGATCTTTGTCAGATGTAAAAACTGAGCCTTATGAGAGTGCATCAGACACAGAATCCCTCTCCAGTGATATAACTGGGAATGCTTGCTCGGATTCAAACTGCCTGTTTCCTGAAAAAAAACCCCTGTGCTGTAATCTTCCCAAAGAAAAGGCAGAAACCTTCCATGGACAGAAGTGCTCCAGACAACCAGAGCTCACCCAGCATGTACAGCTAGAATTGTCCTCCAAAATAAAAGAAGCACCAAGCAAAACTGAATTTTGCATACAGTTTGAGGAATTAGAGGGTGAAGAACTGGGTGATGAAGAGCTAACACTATCTAGTAATATTCCCATCACAGAGAGCCAAGTCTATGAAGAGGGCATTTTATCACAGACAAAGAGAAAGTCTGTAACAGCACTGCAGAGTAAGGCAGAGTTAGAAAGCAGCGAAGTGCAGTCCTCTACCAACTCAGTACTTACAGAAAACGATGTTGCAAGACTGAAGGAACATCCTGCAGTATTCCGCATTGCTTGTTTCAAAGCAAACTCAGAAAGTTGTTTGATTTTTCCTAAGGTCCAGCAGTTTTCTTTCCAGTCAGATGCAGCACCAAGCTGTAGTTTGCCTAATCTTCATTTTGAAACAAATGGACCTAACTGTAAAAGTGACACTGAGATATCTGACTGTAAGTGTGAATTAGAGTCTATGTCCAGTATAAAATGCAGCAGGAGGAATTCAGCTGACAATGAGGACATTAAAGGTAAAAGAATAAAACATGGAAGTACAAAGACCATGTTGACATCAGATTCACTTTTCTACCAGAGTTGCTTCAACCAAAAATCTCGGCTACCACACGCAAGGTCAGAGATTACAGAAAGTAAAACATGGCGCAGTGTACCTGAAAATATCAGTGCTCAAAGTGAAACAGAACCTGTGGTGAGCTGCATTCACCCCACAGACAAATTCAGATGGTCATGTTCCAGAATACATCTTGAAGAGCTGGATTTTGAATACACTTGGAAAAACTTAGGAAGGGTAACTGTGAGTCCTGAAAAGGCTACAGAAATAGAGGGCAAATTTGGAATAAAAAGATCTTTTCTTGATACTGACACAGACTCAAAGGAGTGTCAGCTTTCTCAACCAGCAGCCTCTCCCCAGTGCACTGATTATTATTTGCACTCTAAATCAGAGACATGTGGCCTTAGCCCAGAGTCAGCTGGTACTTGTGATGACAGCTTAACATGGAGTGATGCTTGTGAGGGCAATCAAAACCAGGAGGAGACATCCTCTTCCCTGGATTGTGATCCAGCGATCATAAATGCTGAGGAACTCGTGCAAAACAATGAGTACAAAGCTGAAAGAGATCTGGAAGCAAGCAGATTCCCACATGATATTGATGTTGAACCGGACACTGGTGACACTGAGAACCCTGCAGCTTCTTATGCAGGTGTTCCTGCTGTGGAGGAAAGCAGAGACTGTGATTGTTCTGTAAACTCTGTTTCCAATAGTGGAATACAGGACAAAAGTTTGAAGGAGAATGGCCTGGAATCTGAACTGTCAGATACGGAGATTGTGGCAGGAGAAAGATGGGCAGATGATTCTTCTAATCTTGGCTTTGGTTGGAAGCTGGAAACTGCAACACAACCAGATGGCAGCGACAGAGGGGCAGAGCACAGAGAGTCAGTGCAGCAAAATACAAGTTGCAAACCTGGTGCCTTAAGGAGCCACTTGGGGCTAGGAACAAGTGAACATCCTACTCAGAAAGGAAAGGATGAAGAGAGTGTCTTTGCTGTTGAAAGGACTCCCAGATCAGATTATACAACACAGGGAAGGGATTTAATGACTGTTCCAGAGTTAAAGGCTGCCCTAATTATAGTCTCTGTAGAAGAGAAAGGATTACAGTCCAAAACACAGAATGATAACCTTCCTACTGGAGTGGTAGCCAAAACATTGGGAAATATAGTGAGCAAGGATTTGATGTCTCATACTGTCAGTAAAGCTCATGATGAGCCAGAGAGAGTTCTGAGTGAAAGATGTAACTGTGAAGAACAAATTCTGGCCACCCACCCCATTCCTGGCAGGGCAGAGGTACTCTCTGGTAGGGATACAGCTGAAGTAAACCCAGAAATTTCAGAAGAGGAAAGAGAGAAAACAGAAGCAGTTTCATCCTTAGGGTTCACCTGTTGTAATTCCACAGTAACAAGTGCCAAAGTGGAATTCAGGAACGTTGCTGTACTACTAGGCAGCGATACAATTATTGCAGAAAGTCAGGCAGACCCATGTGAAAAATCATTTATAAAATCCCACAGTGGGAGCTGTGTGAAGGTCTCTAGGGAAGAGCCCTGCAGAACAGGAACACTGGAAACCAGCAGCAGTGTAAGCAGTGTGGGTCAGGGAGATGGTGCTGGTGTCAGCCTTCAAGGGCACAGCATGGTCTCTAAACAAGCAGTAGGCAGGCAAGGAAAGGCCAGCTGCAATGGCTCAAAGGAAGAAACAAGTATTTGTGAAGAACCCTCTCCTAGGGAAGGAAAGGAGGGCTCTCCTGCAGAAGACACCTCTAGCCCCAGCAAAGACAGTGCACTCAGTCTGGATGTGTCTGATGTCTTTGATGAGTCTCTGAACAGGGAGACCCACAGCACTTTCATGCTGGGCCTGGATAATATCAGTACCTGCAGCACTAACAGCGAGGAACTGGATGAGAACTCATCCCACACCCTGGGAAGTAACAGCAGTCTTCACAAAGCTGTTCAAAAGCCAACAAAGAATGAGAAAGCTTCCAGGTTTTTAGTATTCTCAAAAATGACATCTTTCAGGAAATCAAAGCTTGCCTCATTGGAAAATCAGGGAAGCAGCAGCATCTTTGGCAGCAAGGCAAAGACAGAAGAACTGGATGTTGGGAAAGATGATGAAGACACCGCAAGTTTACTGTCTTTCAGAAGTTGTTCATCTGGTTTAGTCTTCCACAGGAAGGAAAGTTACACCTCTGAGTACTCTGATGATGACGATTTATTTTATGAGAGACCTGCAGGTTTATTCAACAGATTGAGCCTGAGGAAGGCCTCTGGCTCTGGTCGGATCCTGATGGAAGATGCAGATCGACAAGTTTCAGGTTCATCTGAAAACAATGACAATGAACCTGTGGAGCATTCAGGGATTAGAAAATCATTCCCTGAAAATGAACACAAAAGAAACAAAACCACTGAGGGTAAGAAGTTCAGGACAAGGTTCGCCTTGGCACACAAATCCCTGTCAAGCTTATTTGAGTCCAAATGTCCAGAAAACACTGAGCAAAGCTCAAAAGCATCAGTGAAAAATGAGAAGGAGAAAGCCAAATTTCGCCAGAGCAGCTGGAAAGCTTTTCTAAAAAGCAAGGAGGCAGATGGACTAAAAAGACCTGTCTTAGTAAGTTTATCATCCACACAGGAGAGTCTTAATGCAACTGGTGGCCACGTGTTAAGATCAGTAGAGCCACAGCATAGTTCCAATGGACACACTTTTTTAAAAACAGAAACAGATAATGACTCCTCAACAGACTCCAACTATTTTGACAGCTCAGTGGAGCCTGTTGATGTCTCTTCACCTGCACGTATGTGGAGAAGACGAATCCAGTCCCATGACTTGGGTATCAGATACTCGCAGAGCTCAGACTGTGATGAACAGCAGGAGGTTCTGAGCAACAGTTTAAATACTTCTCTAGAGGAATACTGGATGAAATCTCCATTTAGCCCCACTGACTTGCAGTTGGCATTTAGTCAGTCAAGTCCATCATGTCCCCAGCTCTCAAATTCTGATGGTAAAGACATGCCTTGTAGGCCCATGAGTCCCAAACCTCAGAGTCCTCGATCCGCTTCTCAACACAAGAACTTCCGCTATCCTGGGCGGGTATGTGCCACTTCCATGATCTCTCTTGGGAACAGCTCTGGTGTGGAAAGCAGTCTGGAGGCTCCAGAGAGACCAAAGACCGTGAAACCCAGAGGAAGTCTCTTACACTCATTGGATGACTTCCAGAGGGATGACAGTGGCATAAGCAGCCAATCCCAGATCAGCTTAAATACAGCTTCTTCCATTAGTGACATGCTCCGAGATGAGGTGAGTTGTTGTCAGGGAATGATCAGGGGGTGGTTTGGCTTGCAGTATTTTGCTTTGCTTTGTGGCTTAGGAATTCCAGTGAAACTCTTCAATGGCTCAATGGCTCATTGGTTAGATGAGTGCATAAATATTCCTCTTGGTCTAAGATAGGTAGCACTATTCATTCTTTCTGTTTCTTTTCAAAACTACTTGAATTTATGCGCTCTTAAAGGGAGGATTTGCTACAAAAATCCAAAGGAATGGAGCAATCACAACACCATTAAAGACTGTACAGACATCACCCTGCATTCATCTCCAATTTTAAGCTGGGTCTTACCCCTCTTACCTGTAACTGGTGTAGAGTAGCTAAGTTTCTCATTGTGAACAGCAACAAAGAAATCAATTCCTATGGCTAGCAGTCACTTTTTAAGAAGTAAAATAGCTTTCTTTAGCCAATGAGTACCTGTCTTTTGAAGTACCATGTGTCTTTTGCAGTCACAATAAGTACCTTCTGGTTGCTACTAGAAGTCCTCTTCTGCCTTTTGTACAACAGACAGAAAAAAAACCCCAAACTGCAGACTCAGGGTTTCCTTTTCATGCCATATTTTGTTGTAATCCAGGTAACAGAGTAAATCCTCGGCATAGGCTGGATCTCATGGAACAGACTGGATCTTCAGGGATTTCATGACTGGCTGAGACCTCTAAAAGCAGAGACTTGCCCCATCAGTAGGCTTTTAATCCCAGAGAGGATTTCCCAAGTTGTAAATGACTGGCAGCTTAGGAATCTCTTTCAGTGGCTAAACACAACCCCCAGAGTGACTGAGACTGAGCTGTAACTGAGATCCCAGAACATGCCTTGACCATGCTACTTTTTCAGTATTATTGCTGATGAGTTTTGACATTAAGAAATGGGAGAATAATTTTTTTTGAGCAGATTGTCAAAAGTGGCACTTGAGAAAGTGCATGAGCTTTTGCATACCCCAAGAAGACAATTTTCAGAGGGTTCATGAATCTGGAACTGCTGGATAAATTCAGAACAGCTGAGGGCTGCTTGTGTTCAACTCAAATGAGCCTCACACAGCTTTTGCTGCTGTTGCCTTTTGCTTCTCACATCTCAGCTTATATTAAACCTCCAAGACACCCTCCAAGATGGTCTTACCCTACCCTTTCTCCATATCTTTTTACAGAAATTCCCTATTTTTTGTATGGAAACAAACAAAGATAAGCAGAACCATGGCTGTATCTAGCCAAGTCTTGAAAACCTCCATTGCTGAAGGTTTCACTGCCTCTCTGGGAAACATTCCTTGAGAAAATTTTTTTCCTAATGTCCAAAAAGAACTTTTCAAGCTGCAGTTTCTGGCCACTGTCTTGTGGCATTGTCTGGCACTACTGAGAAGAGCTGGGATCCATCATCCATGTAAATACGAAATTGTCTGTGACTGCTCCTATGCTACCTTTAGTGCCCTCTTATCATCTTAAATAAACCCAGCTCTTTCAACCTCTCCTCACATATTCCCAAATGAAAGTGTTTTGGTTGACTGGCTTGGGGTTTATCTCTAAAGCTGTCTGGAATCCAAAGAAGTGTTTGGGGGGCACTTTGAGAAGTGAGGGCTGTAGTATCAGAATTCAGGGGGGAAAAGGGGAAGAGAATTAGCTTTATTCTCTTCTGTGCTTAGCTTAACTTGAATTTTTTTTTGTTTTATGGGCACCAGCTTAACTTACAAACTTAATACTGGACAGTGCAGAGACTGCAAGAGACTACAGCCTAGGAAAAAAGCAAGAGGTTTGGACTATACACACTGTCAACAGATGAAGCCTCTCAGAGGATGAATAAAACCATTGACCTGTAAATTACAGCTCAAAAGAGCATCTAGAAAAGAGTGTAGAGATAAGGCATGTGTAAAGCCTTGAAAAGGCAAGCCCACATGCTATAATGTAACCATTAGGAGCAAATTAATAATTACTTAAATTGATTGCTAGATTAAATTATTCAAAGAAAACCATAAAAAATTTAAATGGTATCTAAGACATATAAAAACAGTTTAATTTTCCTGATACTTCTGGAGGCTGCAGAATATGATATCTGAAATTGGACAAATGCAGCTGGAGCCTAGAAATTAATGCAAGTGTCCCAGCTTTCAAAACGCAACATCTAATCTATTAAAATAGATAGGGCTTTATTTATTTATGTTTTCATGACATTGTGAAGTGAAGTGGAATTGCACCCTGGATTTTTTAAGCAAAGCTGTATTTTCAGGAGTCTCTGAAAATACAACATACATTGGGCAAAGTATATTTGCAGTATTAAGTCTTTCCAAAATAATTATCATCTATATGCTAAGGATTACAATCCTTATGTACACTGCTTCCTAAAGAGGTCATAAAATTCAGTTTATTGGTGAATTTGAAGAAAAGTCTTTTTCTGTTCCACATCAGTAAATAATTAGTGCAAAACATATCTGAAACAGTGAAGCTCTTGAGCTCACATCCCACTGTGCCCTCCAGGATGGGGATTTGTATTTATTCCCCAGCCCCAGCCAGGTATTTTTTCCAGTTGTGTCAGTATTATCTGTGTTAGTGCTGTGCCAAACTGCACGAGATCAGCTTGCCCTGGACACCTCTGGCTACCACTCAGGTAAGTAACTCACCTTAGCCTGGTGGAGCACACACCAGCCCCTCTCTCATTACCTGCTAATGGTTAAAACTCTCCAGGTTTCATCCAGGACAAAGATTTTATGCTGAAAACAGCAAGACAGAACCGTTACCAGCTTGCCCATTTGCCAGGCCCTTCACTACGTTTATTTATTCGTGGCACGATTTTACTTGCATAATTGTGTTATTCAGCAGGCAAAAGTGAACTGTCCTAAAATGTCCCATGTTTGGAATTTACATGTTCTTCTCCTTGCTCCTCTGCAGTAAGGTGGGGTTAGGCACAAAACACCTTTTTTGCAGAATCAATTCTTTCTAGACTGTGGCATCTCCTACCAGGGGCAAAGAAGAATTGACCTGGAATTGTTGGTTAGTTGAAAACAGATAGGAAATGCCTGTGATGGTTTGAGGATTGTTTTATTCTGGTTCTTCAAATGATCTGTGAGAAACTGGACAGATACTATTTTCAGGACACAGCATTTTTTTTTTGTCATGAGACTCCTGAGTTCACTCATTCCCCAGTGTTGTTATCTCCTACCTTAAATATTATTGATTCTTACACTGGTGCTGCCTGGAGTAAGTAGCTGTTTTTTTCAGGGCACACTTGATTTCAAGTTGTTCTGGTATAAAAGCTGTAATTTTGTGCAACCACTCAAATGGGAGTGAAGGGCAAAGCTGTGCAATTCCTTACTCTCGGCCCAGCATCAAGCAAATAAAACAGTGTAAAGAGCACAGGGCTTAATATATCAGACCTGCAGGCAGCTACAAAGCCTTTTCACATTGTCTAACTGAAGTACAGTTGGAAAACCAGAAAGAGACAAGAGGTCATTCTTCTATTTTCAGAGACATCGTCTGTCTTTGTAAATAATATTATACATACAGAGTGACCTAAATCCTGGTGGTAATGTTAGTGTGATATGCCATCTAAAATAAGGGTGAGCAGGGCACTGTCCTGTGCACAGGGAGTGTATATTGCACCCTCAAAGGACAGCAGAGCTGCTGCTTCAGAGTGGAGTGCTCCTAAGCGTTTTCTTCTGAGTAGTTCTGTGGCTGAATAACTGAGCTTTGCCATCTTCTGTTCAAACTGACTTGAAGCAAACAAAATTTCCATCCAACAAACCCTGTGTTTTCACCTGCAGTTTGTAAAACAGGAATCTAAACAGCCATGTCAAACAGCACCTGAAAAGAGGCCAAATAAGAAATGGGTTCCCCATCGCAAAAGGAGGCCCCCCCGGGTTCCGCCGTGCCCACGTCCTGTCTCCACCCTGGAGAGCAAAGCCCGGAGGCTCTCCTTCCTTGCTCCAGAAGAAAAAGCCAAGGAGATTCCAGAGAGGAAGAGGAAGAGACCCAAACCCCTCTATAAGTGCTTCAGCTTTGATGATGTTTGGATGGAGAGGAATCAAAAAAGGAAGCTAGAGAAGGAGACACAGCCAGAGGGAGGGGTTCAATTGCAACATCTCCCAAAGGACCCCTCAAAAGTAAGAAGCCATACACAGACCTCCTCGTTCCCTGGTATTGTCTTCCTCTCTGCTCCAGCTGCTTCTCTCTGCTCTCATCATATTCCTGTCCTTACACTTTGTCTGGTACCTCTTCTGTCAGCATTTCTGTGGGCCTGGCACTCTGTGGAGACTGCTGAAACACTGAACTGGCCCTAAAGTGATGGTGTCTGAAGGTGGTGGGTTTCTCAGCTTCTGTAATCGAACAGTTCATGCCCTCTGAGATGTTGGGAATAGAAAGCAATAGAAATCAGCAATAGAAATCAGGTTGCTTTGTGAGCTGAGTGATAGGGAGGGCAAGGAGCAAATCAAAGTTTCCTTAAATCAATATAAATTAAACTGATGAAATCTCATTCTGTGCCCTGTGGTGTTGCTGTATAACTTTAATAGTGGACTTCTAAATTAGACTTCCCTTGTATCTGAGGCCAACTCCACAACTCCTACTGAAGCAAATTCCTGCTGTGAAACACTCAAGAGAACATTGCCATTGGATTTTTAGCTATTAATATTCTCCTCTCCACTGAGGGAGACTTTTAGTTCAGCATTATGATTGCTTGTGAAAAACTCTGTGGTTGTTGTGACTCACACTGATGGCATCTGTTACTTTTGGATCCAGAGCTAAGGTCTGTTTCCTTCAGGGAGAGTCACAAATCTCTATCCAAGAGCCAAAATTAGCCTTAATACATACAAAAGAACTTCTGGGGTAAAAGGACATGAGATCAAGAGATGCTCTGTGAAGCCTCTCACAACAATATTAAGAAAGTTTCTGATCAAGCCTAAAATTATGTAGCAGATATTCAAATAAAAGCTTTCCTCAAGGGTTTCTGTTTTGGTCTGTTATCTGTATTTTTTACCCTTTCTCTCTGTCCTGGTTGCCTGTTTCTCATTGTTACTACATTAAAATAACAATTTTGGAGAGGAGATGAGGCCTCAGTTGTCCTATCACCACTTCAGAATGTGCTTGAGCTTATACGCACAGGCAGTTCTGTGAATTGTGAAGGGGAAACCTTGGCCTGCCCAGAGAAAACCTGTCCACCTGTCCCACCAAACAGACAGACACACCTGGGACAGCGAGCCAGGCCAATCCCAGAAAGAGGGGTTCTGAAAATCTGCCCCCTGCTCTCCCCTTCTCGAGGAAAGAGACTAAAAAGCTGTGCTGTTTTGTATGTGTTGGGCTGTTCAGCACAAAGTGTTGCCAGTTGCTGTGTGGATGGGTGCTGGATATGATTCTCTGATGTGTTTCCCATTCCAGGTTCAGTGAGGATGTTTCCCTGTGATGTGATGGAGACAATGAGTAATGTTCTTGAGGCTTGAGTATGTTAGGATAAAGAGTATTTAAAAATAAATGACTTAGGTTACTTTTCTACCTTGGTGGAAGTTTTGAGTGCTCAGTGCTCTACAGGGATGAGGGAGACTGGTGAAAGTGAATGCCTGGCTTACATAGGGTTGGGGATTAACAGAATCAGTGAAATGTACTAAAAATATTTCTTACAATTCCTCAACAAGCATGGGTAGATGGAAATCTAGCCTGTGCTGCAGGGCATGTGGGCCAGCACTGAGACCATTAACGCTGCTAAGAGGAGTGACCAGTTCCCTCAATAGCTTCCCCTGGAGCCATCAGATTACCCAGCTTGAACGCTGTCTGCTTTGCTGATTGACTGCACATTTGGAGGCTGCCAGGAAACAGCTTCTCCTTTAAGCATTTCCATCCTTATTTTCTGGTGCAAACTTACCTCTAAATTGCAATCAGCTGCATGATGATTTGCAGCTGCCCCTGTGCCCATGGAGGCCTCTCTGAACATCGCCTGCCCGAGGGGCTCGTGGGCCTCCCTCGGTTTTCTGGTTTATTCTTCTCTGGGTAGAAGGTGTAGGTAGGTTTGGGGTTTACTCTGTCCATTTGTGTTTTGTAGGTTATTGATGCTTTAATCTATTTGGGCGGGCCAAGAAAGCAAAAAACTGGTTTATTGAGGGGACTGTGGGGATTCAAAGGCTCTTTTTTATGCCCATATAGCTGAATTTCTTGGTCTGTGCTTTTTATTTATAATAGTAATCACACTGTTCCTTTTTCTTATTATTTTAGCCTTTGCAATGCTCTAGTCCTGTAATAGTGGTGGTTTATTTGTACCCCCAAGTGTCTTGGGAGTGCTGTCACAAGCTGCAGTGTTTGAGGGCAGTTTTAGAAGGATGCTGAATCCCTTTTATTAAGAAGGAACAAATTATCACAAAAGAAGCTCTGTAAGATGTTCATTGTCTGTTGTGGTTTTGTGACTGCAACAAGGCGACTGTGTGGGGTTTGGAGAGCTGAAATTACAAGTCTGATGTTTTGTGACACGGCTGCCTTGGGATGTGTGGCTTCTGTTGTGACAAGTCACATTGTGTTAAGTCAAGATCAGGTCAGTCCACAAGGTGATGTAATGCTGCAATATTGGGGAAACAACTTAATGGGGCAGAGCAGAGAGGAATTCTTGGTTATTCAAGTGCTGGTTTCTGATACCACTCTATCATTCAGATCAATGTACAGAGAGGAGAATAATGGAAATATAAGGCTACTCTGAGGGCTGGTAATTTTGACAGGGAAAAATGGACAAGCATCAAGAAACGACCTTTAAGCTAAAAAAAAAAACAGGACAAACGAAAAAACCCAACAAAAAAAAAACCCCAAAAACCAAAAACATTTAAAATGCCAGTTCTAAACAAATCTATATATTGTAGATTTTTTTTTTATTTATTTATCTTTTATTTAGGTCCAGTCAGCTGCTCTGCTTCCTTAAATTGAAACAGCCTGTGTAAATTCCCAGTCAAACTCAAAGCTTGACCCAGCTGTCCCTTATAATGAGATGCTGCCAGTAACAAGCTGAGCAGCTTCTGATCTTGGGCCTTAAAGTCTTAATACAACACCCCCATGCTGCCCACCCCAAGGGAAGAAGAGAAACATAGCTGTGGATGAATCTATATTCTTTTGCTTGTCCATGGGCTTTGCCCTTCACATAGTGTTGGGTTTCAGGCTGTAGCCTGGGGTCCTCTTGCTTGTTTTTAACGCAGGAGAAGTTCCCTAACTGGAGCAGAGACAATGCCCCAAACCACTGACATATGGAATGCTGCAACAGCAATGGGCTCTGTTTTGGAAATTATTTTTGCTCTGAACTGCCTGTCTTCTGCCATCCAGTGCTTTCCTGTTTTGATGAAAACTTAAACCCTGGCTCTTAAGCTTGGTGCCTCTTGAGTGCACAGCAATAGGAACACAGAGATGGCTTCTACATGAATTTGTTTGAGCACAGTTTGTGCACTGCCAAATTAGAGAGATTCCTAAAAGGCCCATCAGGGGGCTATACCCAGAGGGGGTATTGTGCAGAAAAAGCTCTTTTATTTAGAAAGAGAAATGAGAAGCAGTGAAAAATAGATCTTTAGCTCATTGCCTTGAATATGACTTCTGGAAATTTGATTTTACCCCATCCAAAATAAGAGAAAATGAAGTTTTGTTATGTGGTACAATGTTTATGAGCACAATGGACAACTTGGATAGAGTTTAAGAAGGAAATGAACGCACTTTGAGGAGAGGATTTAATGAGAATAGTCTCCCCCTGACACTCACCTGACAAGGCATGGATATACAACAGAGACCCAACCTCTGCCAGGGTCTGAACTGCTGTACATATAGCAGAGAAATAATCTCTGGAACCTCTGGCAGAAAATATAGGAGAAGGATCTTTCCTATGGTCTGCTCCCTCACTTCTCATCCTCTCCCTTGTAGGTTGTGCAAATCCTGCCCACATGTTACTAACACTGCTGAAAATGCCTCTTCTCCTGAGTCAGGGTTGTACAGGCCTGGCTTCTATGCTATAAGAATCAAATAATTCCTGTACCCAAAATTTGCTCTGATGTCCCAGGAATTAATAAGAATGAAACCTGCAGTTGTAACAGCCTTAGGCCAAGGTTCTGCTTTCTAGTCTTAAACAGAAAAAATAATGCTTTCTATCATTTTTCACGTAAATAACCTAGACTTTACCCTTGACATTTTCAGAGCTGTGGCCCAGTAAGTTTGATTTTCACTGTCACTAGAAGAGTGTGTGTTCCTATTGGGTCTTTGCTGCTACTTTTCTAGAAAGACAGGCACAGCTCAGGTTAATTTGAACAGGATTCATGCTATGCCTCAAGAGATGGTGATTTTTGCCAACATACTGGCAGTATTCTCTTTGTTTTAGGAAAGTTAAGTCCAGGAATAAAAAACCAAACCAGGCACCGAGCACTCAGAGCTGTGTGAGCACTGTGTGCTGGTTAGTTTTGGAAGGAGGGTTTGCCTAGTGGCCATCTACACCAGAGGCTTCAGCATCAAGGCTGATCAGCAGACTTTCTGCTGATGGGACATGCTGTGGGCTGCTGGCGAGAGGGAAAGATCCTAGAGAGAATACTGGACTTCAATACGTCACGTTCCTGGCTCAGTGAAGGATGGATACGGTGTAACTGAATGTCAGTGGCAAAAGGAAGTGGCAGTAGTGATAAGAGCCCATGGGACCAGTGATTACTGACCAGCTGATCTCCCAGCCACTGATGTTTTCTGTGTGTGGCAGCCACAGGAGAGAAAAGAGAGAAAAGGGATAAAAGCATACCTGCAGCATACATTAATTGCTACATTGTGTATTAGAGGCCGTGAGCTGTGTGTATGTATCTCTATGTTTTCCCCTCTAAACCAATAAAAGCTATTAATTCAATTAGATCTGGCAGTGGTACAGAGTTTTCAAAGTTTCATTAAGTTATCTAAGTTTTACAAAATCAGTCAACCAGGTAGAGAAGAGTGTGAGAATTCTTCCTTGTACCTCCAGCTGAAGAGAAGAATGTTGTTATCCACATTCTGTATGGCTGGGGGCTGGTACCAATAAATCTCTGAAGAGAAAAGCTTTATTTTCATGTGAAATACCAGAAGAGGACCTATGAGTTACAAAGCTGCAGGAATAGTTCTGTAGCTGAGGGGACGATTCATTGTAGTGATATTTTCCCCCCTACCCCCCACTAGAAACACTTCATAGGAAGGAGTGAAACTTTCTGTGAATGGATGTGTGTATGGTTGTATGTGAAATATGAATCCAGTACCTGTTTATCCACCTCTGTTCTTACCACATTGCAGTTTTCCTTGCCTTCTCACAGTCTTCTAACGTTTCTAGCCATAATCATCCATGTGTGTCCACTAACATACTGCTTACTTACACGGGCAGATATCAGAGGTGGGAAGAGGTTCTTTGGGATGAACACTGTATTTTGTCCTATGGGGCATCTGAACTCAGGGTTTGTTGCCTTTGTTTTCCCTGTCCTGTTGCAGACTGGAATGAGTCCATCTATCACATCTCCTGTTGCCTTTGACATCCTGCCACTGAAACTGCACCCATTTTCCCAGAGCACTCCGACAGGCCTGGACTGCGTGGGATGGAAACGGCGCATCTCCGCTCCCGGTGTGTACACTGTCCTGGCTGGGTGTACATGATGAGAGAGTTAAACTCTGGTTTATTGTGTGTGGGAACTACGTGATAAGCGTTCTAACCTGTTTGTGATGATTGCTGCATCCATGTCTGAGGAGAAATCTGCTTTAGAGTTGAATCTTTCATGTGCTTTTCATATTCAAGTTTGTTTTCTCCCTGGGTGGATAAACAGGGTGTTGTTTTAAGGCAAGGTCAGCTTTTAAGTGAAGAAGAGATCACTCATAGCAATGACAGTGTGCTTGATGTAGAAACATTGTGCTGTCTTGGGAGAACTCTCTCACCTACGATGATGTCATTTATATCACACTCTTGAATTAGATTTCTGTCGATGAAATAGACTCTGCCTTGTGTTTGCTGGAGAGCACTACAGTGGGTATGGTGAGGTTCCTCTCAGGTTGCTAATTAGGCACTAAAGCAACTAAATGAGCCTCTAGAGACAGAAGTTTCCTGTACTTTAAATCTCCTTAAAGAACAAATATGCTGTGTTTTCATGGGGAATGCGTATGAAGTACCATGTCTACTTCATTTCCGATGACTGACACTTTCTCAGAATTAAAATGTAAATTCCACAGATTAATAAACTGTGAGACGTATCTTTGCCAGGTTTTGAAATTCTCCATCTGACAGTGCCTGCCCAAACACTGCAGATATCTCTATCACAGCACTTTGGGCTGGAGTAAGAAAAACAGAATGCAGAGGAGTTGTTTGGTGGTTAGGAATCTAGCCAGGAAAAGCCAGCCACAGTTGGGTGCTGAACTGCCATTTCTGCCTCAGAAGGTCTCTGTACCATCGATTAAACCCTGCTGGAGTTACCTAATTAAGGGACAATAACACTGTACTAATTACATCAGAGTTGAATGGTCATAGTATTTTGTCACGCAAAACCGGTTTGCTCTCTGACACTTTGTGCAGCTCATGCACAGAATCATGAGGCTTTATCTGGAAATAAGAAAACAGTTTATTATCGTGGTGTTGAGAGTCTTGCCTTTGCTCTCTCAGCACTGAGGGCTTTGATCACTTGCTGTCACAAGCATCTGGTGCTGCCCCAATGCTTAGGACTAGTTCCCTGGCTGAATTAAAAAAGCTGCAGCTTTACCCCTTGGAAATCCCAGATGGAACCCCATCATTGTCAAGTTGTCTGTGCATCTCTGACATTAGCTGAAATCCCTGAGCACTGCTGTCATAGAAGTACATTCTGAGTCACAGCTGAGACAAATTTCATGGTAGTTCCCAACTGGGACCTGAGGGAGTTAAAAAATATGTATGAATTTCTGAGGGTGAATAGAGGAAGTAAATGTATGCAGACTGACCAGCTGGCAGTGCTGGAGGTGTTTATGTCCTATCTAGAAATGGGGCCTGCAACCTGAATTATCTGTGATTGACACAGTGTTCCTGAGATAGGTACAAGTGAATTTCATACCATGACCTAAGACCACACGTCAAGAATTTCTGAGTAAATGTAGCAAAACAAATGAAATAGAGCAGAATCATTTTTTTTGTCACCACCAAAACCAGGCTTCTGGGAAAGGAAACTGACGGAGAGAGGAAGCAGAGGTTCTTCTACCACTGTCATCTCTATTAGCTGCTGCTTGTGGTCTTCATTTGAAGCATTTTGGGGGAGATGAATGTGGGCACGTGTTCTGCCTGTGGTAGGATGGGGATAAGAAGGAAACTCCAAATTACTGAAGTAATACTCTGAAGTTGATGGATCACTTTTGACTGGCTACATCCTTGAGGCAACAGTAGTACAGAACACCCTCTTTGATTCTTGCACAGCTTTGTTGTGATGCCTGTTGTTTTTGGCAAAGCTGTAGAGCATGTAAAATAAATAGAAGTGTTAATTCACTTAATCTAATTTTAAGATTTCTAACTCCAAAGCTGCAACTGCTTGTATTAATGATCCCAGTGCTTTGGTCATCAAAGACACCAGATATAAAAACACCACGCAATATCCAGTGCTACTAATACTTCATGTCGAAAATACAGCTAAATTTCCCACTCCAAAGTCTGCACTTAGTCACCTTGTTCAGGGAATGCAGCGGAGCCTGTGAGGAACGCAGAGAGTTCTGTAAACGTGAAGCGATGGCAGTGCTGCTCCCAGCCCAGGAGGTGCCGTGCACAGCTCTCAGACTGGGGACAGGAGTTGCGGACAGACTGGCTATCCTAGCTCAGCGTGGTTTTTGTTAGAACAGCACGAGTGCAGAGGAGTTTTATTTTAACGCCGTACCTGCTGTGCCCGTCACGCTCCTCCCCTCAGGGGGAGCCCTGGCTCTCGCCTCCTCTCCGCGCTGCTGGCAGGAACGGGGCGGGCTCCGAGCGGTG